ACAGAGATATTCTTACTTACCTGCGTCGATTAACGCATAATTATGAAATGGCGCGGTGATTATATATATTACATATAAATTTTGCTATGTAAGAAAAGTTGCTTTGTACAACAACTCGTTCTTGCATAAAAAGTTGACTTCAAACTTAATTATATTTAAATTTTGTGAGACAATTGGGCAGTATAACGTTTTACTAGTAAAATAAATTTACAGTTCGTTGGAATAGCACAAATATTACCTATGTACTAAAAATGCTAACATTCTTAGAGCTAAGCACTCTTGATAATCGATGAATTTACTTGATAAATATTGCATGAAACCTACGAACCTTTAATTAGTCGAGGCTCTGGTTATGTCTGCTATAGGCATGAAGGAAATTTCTCAGGTTAGCTCCACTTACGTAAGTAATTAGGCTGTTTTGCAATGGATCGGAATATTACAGTAGTTGAACTGTACATGCTGTGGCAAATTGGCAAAAAAGGTACCGGGTTCGAATCCGCTAGAGACAACCAATGTATTCCCTTAAGCAAGCCACTGACTTCACGTTGGTTCAGCGCAAACGGGTAGATGTCGGTGGATGGATAGCATAGCATTCTGGTCTGGTTATGCCAGAATGTATGAGGTGTTCGGCCAGCCTGTCCGATGCGAACGTTCCTTGTGGATGCACTTCGCCTTAGCCTACCCGATGGCTGATTTCATTGGAATAATAAACATAACAGAAAATATATACTCAGGTAATAATATTAAAAACCGAACAAAACAACAGTATTTTTTGTAACCTGAAACGATTTTCCTTTATTAAGATGCAGAAGTGTTGTTTTTGGACTATTTTTGCATCTGATGGACAACACTTCTCAAGTGAAAGGCGACACGTGGGCATAACGTTTGATTTTGTGGCTGTGCTACGGTTCAGACTGTCTAGCTTTAGCACTTTCTCTTTTGATAGCGGATTGAAGCGGCGTAATAGCACTGTCCCTTTGCTTCTAATCATCTGAGGGGGGGGACTATTTAAGCAGGTCACGGCTCCATGAATTTGAGCAGCTGCAGTGCATGAATGTCTAGCTTTTTTCCTTCTTCGCATATCTGAGAATTTCTTAACTATTGTTGTATGATAATTTGTTGCATACCGATACACCAACTGTAGAAGTTGGAAGTGAACTTTTAATGTCCCCTTTCTCTCAGAAATCGTCCTATTCTATGCTGTTTGTTCATAACCACTTTATCGATTTCGTAAAGACCCGTAACTATAACTCTAGTTGTATTGTAAAGGTTTCAACATATTTTTATTACAACGCATTACTCTCAATCTATTTATTAAATAAATAGGATATTGCATTAAAGAATAGAATGGTTTACATCGTGATTGCGCAAACCATATGTCAGGCAGAATTTGTCTTCACTATTTGAGCCACAAATCCTGTTTGAAATTTTCTGCCAGGCAGCCTCTTGAATGGAAAGTCGTGGAATGTTGCTGGGAGGCATCAGTTTCTTTTTTCATTGAATGACATAAAATTGAAGAATGATCATATGAATTGCGAATTCACCTTCAATCACTGTTTAGTGGAACCGGATCCAATGCTGGTTTGTACAGCTTTCAAGAAGTGCAGATTTTACCTGTTCACCAACTCAGAGCCTTATGATGCGAAAGCTGCTGATAACGATAGGGATGTCTTTAACGAAAAGCCGCGACAAGAAGATATGATAACCGCCGTAGAGGTTGTTTCTCTCGTCACTGAGATTTATCCTTAATAATCTGCGCATTTTAGAGTGACAAGTCTATCAAACGTGTCACTGATTCTTGCGTGATTCACACGACCATGGGCGACATACATTGCCACCTGTACACGAAAGAGTGTGTTGCTTAGCTTAGCTTCTGTTGTTAACTGCTTTGAGTGCTTAAGGTGTCCAAAGGCGACGGAAAACTTCTGCACCCATGCACGACAAGGATATTACAATGGACATGTATTTCATCGGGTCATTAAAAGTTTCATGATCCAGACCGGCGATCCGACAGGTAATCCTTGTTTTTATTTCGTAGCTAATGTCTATCAAATTTTTAGGCACAGGTATGGGTGGAGAAAGTATATGGGGACAAGATTTTGAAGACGAATTTCATTCTTCTTTGAAGCATGATCGTCCTTTCACCCTTAGCATGGCAAATGCCGGCCCGAACACGAATGGTTCACAGTTTTTTATAACTGTTTCTCCCGCGGTACGTTTGAATCGTTTTTTCGTTCATTTTGTTAGTTTTGTTACGTTTATATTTTTAGCCTCATCTCGACAACAAGCACACACTTTTTGGGAAGGTAACAAGGGGAATGGACGTTGTGCAGAACATTAATGGTCTACGTGTTAACCCGAAGAACAATAAGCCGTTTGACGACGTGTCGATAATTAGTATTACTTTGAAATAGCCACTTTACTTTGTTCTTTGTACTATTGTAACATTATTGCATGCAGTAAATTTATGAACAGGTTCTTAAAACTACATTAAAGTGTAGATAAATTAAACAATTAACATGTACAATTGACAGGTGCAATTAACGAATAACACAAGCAATTCAAGTGAAGTTCACTAAACAGGAAATAATCATTACTCTATCATAAAGAAGAAGAAGGACTCTGGCTGGCATTAGGTGTTCCCGGGTAATGTTTTATGACATTGTTGTTACAAGATTACCTTAAAACGTGTATTGCTTTACCGACAATCGTCTCCTACATTAAAAAGCACTAAGAGTCTCAGCTAACGGGGATTTGGCGGAAAAGGAGAAAGGTGCTGCAATTAAGTATGTATTGAAACTGTTGTCCTACCGAAAATTGGGAAATAGATGAGTAACAATGGTAAATCGTGATAACAGAGTGGTATGTTGTTTTCCTCTGCTGTCACAGAAATTACGGAGGTAAATGCATCTTAAATTATCGGCATTTCTAAGAACAACAACGATCAATATGTTCGCATATTTAACACCTTCCATCGACGCTTCGCCTTTCAGGTCGCGGAGGCAGACGCGTCAGTCAGAGCTTCCAATTCCCGATCCTGTGCCAGAGTCTGAGTTTCGCCAGAAGACAACTGAAGTCTGAGTCTGATCTGATTTGCACCTGGTTAATCCTGGCCGTTTCGCGATCGGTTTCGCAAGAAAGAGCTACTTAGCCTACCTTTCTGGAGGCATTCGCAACACATTCCAAACCATCGCAACTGTACTTTTTCAATCAGGAGAAGCAAAGGCTGTACACCAAGGCTCCTCCGGACATCAGTTCTCTGGACCATGTCGAGACGCTTAAAACCGGCGACTCGTCTAAGAATGCCCATTTCAGTAGCATGTACCCGGGTTCGAAGATTTTCAGAAGTAGTACTCATTGCCGCTCTCAGTTTTCAACTCTGCATTAGTCATAATGGATCGGGCTGGCTCACGCAGAACGCCACTGGCTACTCCAATTCGCTGGTTGATCTCTTCCTCCAATTTTCCATCACTAGTAAATACGATTCCGAGGTACTTGAACTGCTTCATTGCCTCTCCGTTAATCTGAAGAGAGCAACGGGCAGGAGAACGAGAAAGCAGTTGAATTTTCATTTTAGATGCATTCACAAGCATACCGGTCACGTCACACTGGGCTGCGAACCTTTCTAGGGAGCACTGTATATCAGCTTCAGAAGATGCTAATAAACAAAGTCGTCTGCAAATAGCAACCTTCTCTCTTCACATCTCCTACACCAACT